GTCCCACGCCGCCCAAGTGCACCAATCAGAAGCAAGGAATCGATGCGTGGTCCAATCAAAATCAAGCCCTTCCGTGTAACCTTCCGAGCACCAACTCGACGACACATCGATGCTGGGCGACGGGACCACCGCATCCAAGGCGCTGGAGCGCCGCCAGGTCTGCAATAACAACCAGAAGCGGTATCGTGCCAGGAAAAAGGCCGCGAATGACCGTCTCGCGATGGACGTAGCAGTGTTGCATGAGCAAACGCGGTCGCTCAAGTTCTCGCTCGAACGTGGCAGGCGGTGGAGTGCGCATGAGGCCTCTGTGCTCCAGTACTTTGGATTGTTTAGCGCTGGATACGACAGGTCCGGGCAGCACGACGCATACCTTCGCTACATGTTCTCGCCTCACGTGCAGTTCAATGGCCTTGCGGTGAGCCGCCCACGAGATGATCCACGAACCGTCATCGTCGCGCTGTCATGTGTAGCACGGAATCGAACCGATTGCGATGTCATGGGCCAAGTACACAAACACGTTTGCATCGATTCAAGTTCAGTGCGACCGCATCCAAGTTTTCAGCGACAAAATGGACGAAAGCGACAGCGAAATGGCGGTGGTCGACGCACGCGCGTCCACGCGGATGTTGATCACGTGGAATACCATCACGACGTTGTTTCCGCATCTGCCGCAAACCTTGGCCAAGCGACTTGTGGGCGAGTTCCTCCACCTGCCACTGCGAGCCATCTTTGTCTTTGACAGTCACCTCCAAGTGATCCAACTCACCGGTGAATCGAATTTGGTCGAAGCGCTGTACAATCTACTCGGGAGCCTCGACGACGTCTCGACTGTCGTCGCCCACTCGTGCATGCATCTCAGTCCAGATCTCCTCGCGGCCCAGCAACATCTCAATAAATGATGTGTACCGATCACCACCGGCACTCCGAGTGTGCCAAAATGCATCCAACCATGCCACGACCGCCCCATCCGCAAGCTGTCGCGTCCGTCAGGGTGGTGCTCCTGTGCATGGCGCGGAGTTGTTGCCGGCGACGTAGGACACGCCGTACGCCACTGAACGCCAGAAGGATAGATCGCGCAATCGTCACCGGAATAACCCATTCTGCAAAGCCCTTGCGCATGCCTCTATTGTCGCATTGTTCTGGGGCAGGCATGATTCGAACGAAGCAATTCACAAGGGAGCACCACGTCGAGACTGGCGTGTTGGCTGGAGTATTCACACCCGATGCGAAGGCGGCCAAGCCATGGCTCCTGGAATCTCACGTAACGTTACGGCGGGGCGAGCTCAGTGAAGCACGACAGCGTTTTGATGCACGACAGGGTTCATGTGTGGAGCACGTGCCCGTCGCACCATTAGATATGTTGGGGTACAGCATGAAGTACGACGTATTCCTGATGGCGAGCTCGAACGGAGGTGGCCGAGTCCACTCGCCACGAGGTTTTTGTACTGGTGTGAAGTGTGTGCAACGATGTAGATAGTGTTTTCGTACAGAGCCGATAGAGCGAGAGAACTTATCCAACTACCTGGCGATTAGCCATTGCAATCACGTAGCCCCCCCCCGCAAGATCAATGTATCTAGCGGTTGAAGCGGCTTCAGTAGTTAAATGATGAGGGTGCTACGCGCCCATAGCATGCTCTTTCAACACCAACGATGACCACACAGGCAAGGGGCGAGCTGGCATCCCCTTAACAGTGTGGTCATCGTAGGTGTCCAGCACAGTCCCCAACGACATGTCCTGCTTAGCCACGAGCTACAGTTGCGCGCTTGCGATGCCCTTCACGTTGACACCACTCGCGGCACGTCGCGCATCTCTTCTGCATTATGGCCTAGCAAACCATCGCTCCAATTCGCTACTTTAGCGTCGCCGCGCAGAGCGAGGACGCTGGCCGCGCGGCACAAGTTGGTTGGGATGATGACCATCCGCATACTCGTAGAATTCCGGATAATCAATATTGTGTGTGATCATGTACGGAAGCGTGGGGGCGGCGCCATCCATGGAGTGGAGGCCTCCTCAAATCGTGTCGTACGCGACGTTGGCAGCCAACGTGATCACTTTTGTCGTTGTCGTGTATGTTGTCTTCCTCACCAACGAGACCGTGTCCTTGCTGCGGCCAATGCAGCCTTCCCGCAGCGATCTCAATCGACAGGACGCGGGGCGACTCGGCTCTTTGCCACCTTCCAACGGAGACACTCAAGCACCGCACATCCTTGTCGTACATGCTGGCGATGACAACCTGCGTGAGCTTGGCGCGGAAGTCGCACGAGGGGCAAGAACATTGACACCGCATGTGCGCGTGTTGCATGTGGCCAACGCATCGTTCAGCAGCGACGTGTTGTGGGCAGACGGGGTCCTTCTTGGCTCGAACGTGTACAATGCCAACGTCGATCCAGTTTTGATGCAATGGATCAACACGTGGGACATGCAGCGAGACCTGAGCCACAAAATCGCTGGCGCATTTGTCGTGGCCGGTGGCCTCAGCGCCGGCGAGGAGGCGGCTCAGCTCGCTCTGCTACGTTCGATGCTCGTTCTGCGACTTGTCGTAGTCGGGGGTGCTACCTGGACGAGGTACACTGTCGTCCATGTCACTTTGACATCGCACTCATCATGATTCTGTGGTGGTGAGCAGTGCATTTGGCGCATCTGCGGTTGTAGACGAAGGCCCATACGCGCCGTCGTCTCAGTACCCACCAATTTGCTTCCCTTCCCGTCCTGCCAACTCGTCGATCGCCGCGATCTTCTTGGACAAAGCATTTGGACTTGGCGTTCGTGTGGCGTCTGTTGCAGCCAAACTGACGCGGTTTTGACACGCCTCAACATTTTCACGTCGACGCTCCCATAATACCAACGCAATTATGTTGGCTTCTATTCCGGTTCCACCCCGCAGTGCGGCATCGCCGATGGCGGTCACGGCAACGTCGTGGCTGGGAATGACCGCAGTCATCGCCACCCTCTACGTTGACCGTGGTGTTGCCGCAGCTATAGAGAGTGTGCGCACCATCCTCCCACGGGACTTCGATATGGAGAACTCTTCCTTGCATGCGACACAAGACGGATCCACTGACCTGGCTGCAGAACACTTGGCATTCTGGTACAGCCAAAGCCAACTCGTCGAAGTCCATCTTTCGAGAGATCCACTCAACGGACGGACTTGGTGGTGGCAGGCTGCGCTCCGTCGCCGAAAGAACCGCCAGCAAAACTAGCAAGCATGGCCATCTCGCAGGAAGTGGGGCCAAGCCGTCGATCGTCGCTGTTATGAAGGACTGCGACCCAAAGGAATGCCAAAACATGCCCGACGGCGGCCACGTATTCATCAAGAAAAATGTTTCTTAAATATGTAGCTTCACTGCAAATTGCATGATCACGAGGACAGTGGCTTCCAGGAACGAGTTGGCAAGGAGCCAAAAGTGCAAATTGTCGGCCGGCGGCGGGAGAATCCGGCACGACGATGGCTTGACGAGGCACGTCAAGTGGCGCACCCACACCAACACACACACCGACCCGAGGACATCGACTAGGATCGCATACGTCGCCACTCGCCATCGCCATCGCTGGAGACTCGCCGCGACGGGTTCTACAAACTTTTACGTGTTTTCTTCATTTCGATCGGGATACCTTGCTGGCGGACTTGCCATGGCACGAGACTCGATACGCCAAACCATGCGAGGCACGTCGAGAGTGCGGCTTTCGACAGGCAAGCCGTCATGAACGTTGTGTGGCGGGTGATGCACATCGAGTACGCGAGCGCGAGTGCCACGTATGGCCACAACGGGATAGCGTAGACATAGTCGATGGACGGCCGCGGTGCGACCGCCTTCTTCGCGGACGGGCGTTTGCGAGGCGACGAGGTTTCGACCCGTTGGCCGTACAGGTTGCCAGTGACGACGTGCAGCGGCAGCGGCAGGACCGACTGTGCCGGTGGCAACGTGCCTATAGACGTTGCATTTGGTTGAGGCGAGCCATGGCACGACCATGGAGATGCAATGGGGGGGTTGTACCAGCCTCCAAGTGGGCAAACCACTTGTCCATGCGCGGCTTGAGCCACGTGTAGAACGGATCGCGGCGGATGCGATGGACGTACGGATTGAAGTGGGCGTCCCGTGCGTCGTCGACGACGCCATGGTCGGCCGAGTGCTTTTCGATCTTCTGCGCTTCTCGCATGAGCAAGTAGAGCAGGATCCCGGCCATCTTCTTGATGGCAAAGTTGAGCAGCGACGTCGGGACCGCGCATTTCGGATCGACATTTACCACGATGCCTACGTCGCACGACATGTCAATAGCAACAAGATGTCTCCCCCGACGGACATGTTCGATTCCGATTGCGGCCGTACGGCTCGATGAGCGCGCGGAACGCTCGAATGTGCATGCGATCGGCATTCCAGCCCTTGATGGGAGGGAATCGCGACGTCGGGTGGTCGTCCTGCAATGCCGACTGGCCCAGCAAGAGCACGCACCGATGCTCGTACACAGCGTTGATACCGAACGCATGGATGACTGCATCCCGCTGCATGAGGGGAATGGCAATGTTGACATATGTGAGGATTTCGACTCGGGAGAGACCCGCCAAGAGCGTCGATTTGTTGCAGAACGGTGCCCACAAGTAAAACAGATCGGTCTCGCGGATCACGGCCATGGCATGGAACACATCGACGCCTTCGCAGATGCCGTCGAGCTTGAGCCAGACCGTGCCGTCGTCACCTAGACGAGTTGCAGGACTCGTCAGTCGCACCACACCCACCACATGCAGCAAACGCGTGGTCGTAATACGAGCGTGCAGCCCGTGCACATGTGTCGCGGCAAGCAGTCGACCAGCCAACTGCATTGAGCTCCCTCCCATCCATCGATTCCAAACACGTCTTTCACGCACCTGGCTTCCAATGCGTCGAAATGCCAAAGTAGGTTTGTCCAAACTGCCATCCCGCCGCTTCGTCCGCGTTGAACTCATGCAACGCCGCGTTGCCTTGGTCTCGGCGCGCCTTGACTTGCTGCAGCCGAGTCGCTTGCGCCGCAATCTCGCGCTCGATCTTGTCCAAGACCGTGGCGACGGTCGCTTTCACGCGGGGAGCTGTGTCAAGAAAGCCCACGAGTTTGTCGTACAAGTCGGCGGCCGAGAACAGTCGCTCGTCCGATACGAGCATCTGGACGTGAGCCCACACCCACTCGACGTTGTCCTGCGTCACGACCACGTTCGAGTAGTCTGGAAGCACGTCGTCAAGCGCTTGGTCGTCGTCGATGGGCAGTGGCAGCGTCGTCGGCGACGGCGGGACCTGTGCCGCCGATGTTGGTGTGCTCGGGGCCGATCGGTCTCCTTTAAATGGCCACGACAGTTTGGTCGAGAGCGCCACGCGCAGCTTGGTCTTGCCACTCAGGGGGGTGCCAGCCGACATCGCGACGGGCGGAAGGAACCCCACCGTTTTGACCTCTGTTGTCCGTCGCAGCCGCTGAACAATGTCTGGAAACGCCATGTCGACCACAGACACTTTGTCAATGGATATGATGGCTGTCCCGACGTCGAGGTTGAATCGACTGGCCACGAGCACTGCGCCGATTTGGGTGGCCGAGTTTTGAGGTCCCACGGCGTCGTGCAACGCATCGGCGTGATGAACGACCACGAACGAAGGTGCTGCTGCCTTGGTCTGGCCGCTGCTTTGAGGACTCGCTGCGATCGACGGCGGGCGGCTGCCGCAATGGAATACGTGAGCATGTGCTGTGACAAAGACAGATCCAAAGTTTCACGTACATGGAGGAGGCGGGAGGCGGGCGTTTAAAGCCGACGGCGACGGGGCGCGGCGCGCTCACGAACCGGCTGAGCACGTCCGGGAACGACAAGTCTTGGATAGACACACCGTCAATGGAGACGAGAATGAGGCCGGGAAGCAGCTTGGCCTTGGCGGCTTCCGAGTGCTTGTCTATACTCACACCCACGACCGCTTTGTGCAGATGCGGCTCCAGGACAAGGCCCGTGTTGATTGCCTTGAACTCGACGACGAGATCGGCATCCGTGGGGACGGGAAGCGCGTCCGAGGCTGACTTGGATCGGTGGAAAGCTGGTCGAAGGTGCTGAAGGTGCGGTTGGTGGTTGAGCCGCAATGGCGTTGGATGCGACGAGTGAGGATTGCCAAAGATCCCGCCCGACGACGACTTGCCTCGCAACGAAAAGCCCGTGCTTGTGCCTCGAGACAGGACATTACGGCGATCGATCCGGCTTCGCACGAGCTGTGACGGGATGCTCTGCAGGCCGTCGTCGTCCAGCCCACGAATGTAATCGGCGTACGACGTGCAAGCGCCGCGGAGATCGTTCAAGTAGGACGGCAGACCCGTCGCGAGTCCCCAGTTGATCAACGTGTTCGGGACGGCGTAATTGGACTCGTCCGAGTACGAGATGAACAGTTCGCAACTGCTGACGCCGGCCGCGCGGATGACAAGATGGGAGTGGAATACTTCCACGCGCTGGGTCGAATTCAACTCGGGGGCGTCGCGGTGCAGCCCTGCCTGTGACAACACGACGAACGTATCCTTGAGCAACAACGTGCGTCGGTAAAAGACATAGTCGCGGTTCGTGAATGGCCACGGCATCTTGATACACCAGTACACTACATGAACGTCGTCGGCGTCGGGGGACGGGCGATGGTCGACAACATACGCTTGCTTCACCGACGAGTCCCATCCTTTTCGGTACTTGAAATCGTGCAGCACGTTGAACAACGTGTCCGCCGAGTACGGGAACCACGCCTTGACAAAATACTTGGGCAGTGTCGACGTCGGCGACACCGACCTGTACAGCTCGAACTGCTTCTCCACGTACACCGTTTCGTCTTGGCTGCGCGCGTCCCATGTTTCCTCAAGCGTTAACTCGAGAGCTTGCTCTACCGCGTCGTCCGTAAGCTCCGGACTCGACACATGGATTTGCCGCATGCCGCCGCGCTGTCGGTCGTAACGACCAAATCTGTGGAATGTTCAACTTTACTGTATAAATGAATACCTTTCAGACGGGGAACCTTTGACATATAATACATTGCGACCTAACAAAACCGATACCGCCGCCATCGCGACGACGGCGACGACCTTGCACAGCATGCTACTAGCGAACACGTGGGCAACATGCAGGTGGCTCTGAGGAGCTAGGCAGAACCCTCAGCTAGCTCCAGCGTGGTGGGCATCGTGACTTGCACGGGTCATCAGGCCGCGCCATCCTGCACAAGTAAGTCGAATGAAAAATCCGATGCGGAGGTGACTGTGAAAGAGCGATGGAAGCTCCACCGCGCGGCAAACACCAACACGTGAGCTGGGTAAGCCTGTAGAAAAGATGAAGGAGGTCATAGCTGCACCGTCGAAGAAGGACGAGAATGCGTGCCAGCCGCAAATAAAAAAGCCTAGAGAGACGCTCCCCAGACCTGGCAGGTTGTAAACGGAAGCGTCCACTCGTAAGCAAGCAAGTGACCACCTTCTGAGAACCACGTCTGCCGTGTGCTTTGTCAGGAGATGGTTCATGGTCAGGCGGAGAAGAGCTGCGTTGAGTTGCATGAGCGGACACTGTCTCTTCCCCCACAGGGCTTATCTGACGAGGACGGCCTGAGAAAGCATGACGTCGTGCTTACAACCCCCCCCTCCCATCCTTTGAAACGAAAGCAGGGACGGCAAGTGGAGCATCGCTTCCAGAATGCTGGAAAACATGCCATGTGGCTGGCGGGAGGAGCTGGAAAATGCCACGTCAGACTATCCGGATAATATACCGGATATGAAACCGCAGGGTGCAGTTGCGACCGTTCGAGGCACATCGAGATGGTACGTCGGCGTCGGGATGTCTGGCGGTAATATGACGTCGCTGTAGCCTCCCAAGAAGAAGAAGGGAAAGAAGAAATCCAAGGAGGAGCTTGAGGAAGGTAAGGTTGCCGGCCCCGCTGCACGACAGGTGGTTCTCACGATACTGGAACAGAGCGTCGGTTGAAGGAGGAAGAGGACGCACGCATTCGCTTGGAAGAAGAGCGTCGATTAGAGGAAGAACGAAAACAGCGCGAGGAAGAGGAGCGAAAGCGGCGCGAGGAGGAGGCCAAGAACCGCGCCGCCGAGCTCGTGCGGCTTGAGGAAGAATACTCTTCGAGTTTGGCGGGGATTCAAGCGAAGGCAAATCGGTTGGGCGAGGAATTGCGCCGCCGCAAGGACCAACACGACGTGCGTGTGCATATCGTTCGACGATATGTTGTGCGTGACACACAATCGTAGTGGCAAAAATATCTCGCATGCGACCCAAAGCCCGACGCCACCGTCGAAAACGACATCAACGCGTTCTTACACTCGTGGACGCACGATACCAACAACAGCGACCTCGCGTGGGCTGTTCAATCGTGCGAAGCCGCGAGGCTCGTCGTCCAGGACTTGCTTTACTTGCACATGGAGGCTCGGGCCCTGCACCAGGGATTGCAGCTCGACTTGACCGCTCTGTACTTGCACAAGCTGACGTCGCTCACAACGGAAAAGCTGGACGCCACGACCGCGCACATGCTTCAGTACGCCGACGAATTTTTGGACCCCGCCGGCAAAGGCGAAGTCAAGGTCGCGGCCGCCGCGGGGCCAATAAAGGTATATGTGCCATTATGTTTGTGCAATCGTGTTGATGACACCGTTCGCACGTCCTGTCGTTTGAACTTGTAGACTGGGGTATGGATGAACTTGGTGCCGAAAGGCCTCCGCAACAAGAAGATCGACTTTGGTGAGCTCGGCGCGACCGTCGACGTTCCCAAGCCCGTCGTGATGCAGACGCTGGGCGTGCGGTTGTGCTACTTGCCGTACGATGTCGCGTCGCAAACGGCGCTGCAGAACGTCGACGCTCCTCTTGGGGGAGTCTTTACGCTGGACTTGCTCAAGATCCCTGCCCCGCCCAAGGGTGCGCGAGGGTGGGTCATGCGCGGTAACAGCACGTCACGTCCTTATCAGAGTCCTGATCGCCGCTGTAGAGCTCAGCTCGGAAACCAACGTCAAGCTTGAGTACCCGCTGGATGGGATGGTCGCGACCGCATCCCTGGCGGTCAAGGTCACGCTGCAGCTGCCGACAGACGTGCTGATCCCGGCCAACCCCCGCGTCGGGTGGTGGAATGCGGCGGAGCAGACGTGGCAAGAGGACGGGATCACGGAGGTGTTGTTCGCGGAAGAGACGAACGTGTTGTATTTCAACACGATGAAGCTGACGCACTTGGCCGTGGTCCAGCGCCGAAACGTCCACCACGTCAAGCACTTTTGGACGATGAAGAGTTCGACAGCGATCGAGGACGGACCGGCGTTTGCCGTCGGCGCGACGGCCGCCGTCCAGTTCGTTCTTCGCAACGCAATGTACAACACGATTCACTTTGACGTGACCGACGTTGGCGTCCGCCTCGTTGCCCCTGCCGTGCCCCAACTCGCGGCCCTCAACGCAGCCTACTTGTCGCCGGAAGAACTCGTGACGCGGCTCGCGCTTGCCGGCATGGACCTCGCGCCGACTGCCATGGACGACAAACGGTTTGACGTTGTGCCCAAGCTCGCTGTCCTCGAGAAGGCGCTCATCGCGCAGGTGCTTGGACTGGTCGCAGCGTTTGAGATCAAGAGCTTGACCGGCGACGAAGACGAATTGTCGGCGCAGTGGGAGCGGTCAAGCGACAGCCCACGGTGCGCCGTCTTTTGCGTCAAAGAAGTGGTGTGGCCATGGCTAAACCAGCCCGCGGACACGGTCGACGACATTGGCGAATTCATCCATGTCCTGGCCGAAGTCGACGAAGAGGCCGCCGCCGAAGTCAAGTTTCGCACGAACGCAACGTCGGTCGACAACCCGTACGACACGTACGTGCACCTGCGCCAGGCGCTGGCGACGCTGACAACGCCCGACGCCAAGGACCGTCTCGACAGCTCCAACTTGCTCCTCGAGTACAACATGCAAAAGATGCTGTCGCTGCTTCGCCTGTTTAGCTATACGAAGCCGCCCAAACGACGGATCGTGGAAGCGCGGCGAACGTCGTTTGTCCAGGATTCTCCGACAACGCCGCCGCCGCCGGACGGCGACTCGATCCGTGCCGATCTCGTGCCGTCGTCGCAATAATTCTCGCACAACGCGCCGTGTGTTTGTCGCCCCGTTCGTTGCATGCGCTTCCTCTTAGCTCACCACGACGCCATCGAGCACACATGCTTCCCACTCGTTGGCCCCTTTCACGGGCCGCAGAGCGCTCTTCCTGCGGCAATCGGCCGTTGCGATGAACTCGAGGTTGATGTCGCGACGAACGACCAACTTCGACGGTTCGAACGGCATGCATCGGAAGCGACTGTAGAGAGGAAGCACGTCGTCGTCGTCGTTGAAGTTAACGTACTGCGTGTGGATTAGATTTGAATGTGGCGAACGACGGCTCCGTCCGCGCCGACGGCGTCGTCAGGGAGTGCGATGGCAACGATCTGCTGTAGCATTCACACGGCCAACCAACGAGTCGATTCGAGGCAAAGTCGTGCCGTCTACTTGAGTACGCCGCATTGGCTTAGGGCGTGACGCTTCCGTAGATCGCCGACAAACGAATCGCCATTTCGAATATGCCACAACGCTCCACCGAGATTGAGTCCCCATGCAGTGCGGGGCCAGGGGGGTTCGCTTGGTACGATGAATGCAGTCGACATATCTGCGCAGCTTCCATGCACTGCCGCATACGCTTGAAACGCCGGCAGCACGACTTGGTCGAAGCGCGCGTCGTAGCGGCGCCATATAAGTCCCGCTTCGTCGAGGAGAAAGCGCATCTCATGGGGAAGGTCCGTCGCATCTGATCGCCGTCGGGCGATCCATCCACCAAGTGCAAACCCGTGCGCGAGCTCTGGCCATGGCTCCTTGGCCGGCACGACAAAGTCGCTAGGGACGAACGCGTGGCCAAATTCACGTCGAAACGTCGACAGCGCCGGCAAAACCCGCTGGTGCACTTGGAAACGGAGCTTATCTGCAGTGCTCCACAAAAACCCGACCGCGTCCAACGCTGGTTTGTCCACAACGTGCGCGTAGAGGTGGCCGCGGCGGATGTCTCGGACGATATGGCCAAGTGGCAGTCCCCACGTAGGTTGTGGCCACGATCTGTCGTCGCATGGGACGACAAATGCTTGTGGAATGTCGCAGTGGCCATGCAACTCGACAAACGCCTGAATTGCGGGGAAGACCTGGGTGGACCACTTGAAGGCAGATTTAGACTGGGTCAAGTCAATGCCAGCGGCGGCAAGGGCGGCGAATGCGACCGAATCGTCCAAGTTGCTACGCAAGCTCATGACGGCTGTGCCGAGAGCGAAGCCGCGGAGGTGTGCGGGCCAGACACCGTCTGGGTCGCTGGAAGGGATGATGAATTGCGCTGGTACGTGCCAGTGGCCGTGGATGGAATGAAAGATCAAGAGCGCAGGAATGGTGAACTGATGCAACCGGTCGGCGCGGGCGTTCCAGACGAACCCGAGTGCATTGAGGGCAGCAACGTCGTCGATCGACAACTCATCAGCGTGTTGGCGGAGGTAGTTTACGCGATGGCCAAGGCGAAGACCAGCACATGGAGGTGGCCACGGGTGGTCGCTGTGTGTATCGCCAGGTGGTACGATAAATGACTGAGGCACGCGAAGGTGGCCAAACCGCCGCTGAAATGTGGCAAGGGCAGGGAGGACCGCGTGTCGAAGGTAGTACGTTTGCCATTCTATGGGGAACGCAATCGACGCGAGCTGGTCTCGTTCGGATATCGATAGCTGTCCAAGCTTTCGAATGAGACCTTGGAGCTTTTGCCCGAGCGGATACGTCGTACCCGACGTTGTGCTGCTGGTGTCCTGCTGCACTAATCTGAGTTCGTAGCGTGGTGGCACAACAAAGTGTCCATGTTGTTTGTGGAACTCATGCAGTGCGCTGACCATCTCTGTAAACTTCCTCTTCTTCGTGGATGCGGCGGCCGACGCCGTCGAGAACCACGCCGCCGTGGTCTTGGCGGCGCAGATGCGCCGAATGGTTCGCAGCATCTGCAATTCACACATTTTCGACGAGGAATCATCCGGATATGGTATCCGTATTTTTGACTTTTTGAGCTCACCATGGGACATCAGCCGCCGCCAACTGCGGTGTCCGTGCCGATTCGGCTCGGCCGCGCCAAGACCCGCGTGACAGACAGTATCAAGGTTTGCACCACAGCTTCTCCGTCTACGTCGTTAGGGCTAAGCAACGCGAATCCATTGCGGGTGTGTGGAGTGTGCCAAGCGAACGAATCCAAGTACACATGCCCTCGCTGCAATGCCGTTTACTGTGGCGTGGCGTGCTACAAGACACACGGCACGACGTGCACCGAAGCCTTCTACAAGGGGCACGTGCAATCTGAAATGCGATTGAACAAGGATGCGTCCGCGTCGTCGGTCCGCGACGTGCAAGCCATGTTGCAGAGGGTCCACGACGACTTTCCCGAAACATCCCCGATGGACGCCCGTATCGACGACCTCGTGGAACTCATGGAAAGCGACGCGTTAACGTTGGATGCACTCACGGATGAAGAGCGATCGACCTTTCTCCGCGAAGTCGCCGACGGTCGACTCGGCAAATACATTGCGTTGTGGGAACCTTGGTGGATGCAATCTCCGGCGGCGTACGACACACGAACCAACAACTTGCGGAGGTGCCTCATTGTGGATCTGCACGACGGCGATGGTTCTCTCTCTCTCGGCGAAGACGACGTTTTGACCCATCCGTTGGGCATTTTCACGGCGTCCATGGCCGCGAGCTTCCCGACCCTCAACTCGTTGCACCCGAATCCCAACCATGCTGTTCTCCAATGCAACCTCGTTGAAGTTATCTTCGCCTACGCCTATGTCATGCGAGTGTACAATGGCGACTGGCGCGTAGATGTCGAAGACGCCGCGTCGCAGTGTATGGCCATCTCGTCGGTGCTGCTGGGCACTCCTGCCGGCATGTTTACCTCGATCGAGCACGTCGTCATGACGTGTCAGGCCAGCGGCGGTGCAGACGCAAACGACGCCGCCAAGAACGTGGCGCTTTTGGACGTGGCAACGATCTTAACTCACTGCGTGTTTGTGCTCGATGGATTGACGGACTTGCACCTGTTGTTTCAGACGACGCGACAGACGCGCCGAGCGGACAAACGAACCAAGAA